TACCCGGTCCGGTCATCCCTATAACGAAACTACGTCGTATTGTAGCCAATTGATCCTGTCCGTCCATTTTCCACCATCCAACGGACCGTAGGCCTCCTCAATTTTAGATAAAACTGTCCGAAAAAACAGTTCAAACCCTAAAACATTTTCCTCTTCCTCGTACCGTCCCCAGCCCCTGTAACACTACCGCCATCCACCGTCACCCCACCATGTCTCCACCATCCACCGCCATCCGCCGCCGGCCGGAAATCGCCTCCGCTGGCGGCGATGCTCCAAATTTCCCAAAAATTACACCATTGAATCCCCGTACCCTCCCCTTTCCAAATCCCCAAATGCCATCCCTCAATTCCTAGCCAATCTTCTCGAATATTAAATCTAAAATCCGGCCAAAATCTTAGTTTATCCAAATGGCCCCAAATTTTCACCACATAACCTCCTCGTCTCCCTCTTCACAAATCCATGACCTGTTTCCCTCAAATCACCACCGAAGCCCTCGAATTTCAAATCAAAAATGGCCAGAAACCCTAATTCCATAATTTTGGGATTTCTTTTGATTTTGGTCTATAATAGCCCTTAATCATGTGTTTTCTTATGAAAACACATGATTAAAGGCGGTTATGATCCAAAATGTCAAAGAAATTCATCAAACTCAAGGTCTGCCCAAAGAAGCCGAAATCAGTGAGTTTTTCAACTCTTTTTTTTTTTTTTTTTATGTTCTTGTTTGCTTTGCTTGAATTTCAGTAATTGTTTCATGTTAGTTAATTTTGATTTTTGTTCTGTTTTTGATCGTTAAATTTCAGTAACTTTGATGTTAGTATATTTAGTTCCGTTTCAATCTAAGTTTAATTGTTAAATTGTTTCTGAGTTGCAGTAATTTTGATATTTTGTTTTGATGGATTCAAATTGTAGTGTAGTTAGATTTTATTTTAGTTTAGTTAGGTGTTTGGCAATTCTGATAAGTAGTGTAGTATGCAGGAGTATTAACTTTGCAATTTGATTTTGTTTCCTATTAAATTTTAGGTTCAAGTCTGTTTTGAGCAGTGGTTGATTTTGTTCGATTGAATTAACATTTTGTTAGTTTAATTAGTTTAGTTTTTGATTGTTCTTCAATTCAGTATTCATTTTTCAATTTAATTAGTCTTAGGATTTGGATATAGCTGATTTAGACTCACTAGGTTCAACTATAGTTAAATCTTAACTAAGGTAAAGGAGTTCGGGTGGGTTAGTAATTCTAGGGACAACCAAGGGTAGTTTAGGCATCCAATGGGCTGGTTTGTTAAGGGCCAGTAATTTCAAAACAAAAACAAGGGTAGTATAGGTATTCCATAGGTAGAAGAACACCCTAGGGCCTTCTAGAAGGGGGCCTTAGTGTAAGTTTCTGCATTTTTAATGCAGTAACTTGGGCAACAAGCCATAAAATTAGGGTTTAAAAACCAATTTCTGAAAATAAAAAGGGGGAAAATGGGTAAATACTTCCATAACATTCTGCCCTCTTTCTTTGCCTATAAAAGGCAACCCTAGTGCCTTGATTAACAAGTTTAGAAGTCTGAAAATTCCCCAAAATATTCCAGCTCTTAAATGCTCCCTCCAAATCCCCTTCTTCAAGTCCAAATTTCAAATTTGAATCTCAAAATTAAAGAGGTTCAGATCTGAAGTGATACAGCTATAGAAACCCTCATTTTTAGATCTAAAATCCTGCAGAAAACACCAAAAAAAAAAGAAACTTTCAAAAAATCCCAAAATACTATTCCTTAGATTAGTTTCGATTTTCAGTAGTTGATTTATAACATTTAGTCCAATATTGGGTTGCTGAAGTGTTCTGGGCATCCCTGGGTTGTTTGTCGAGTGTATTCGGGTTATATCAAGTAGATTTGGGTCATTTCAAGCTCATTTGGGTCTATTCGATTTGCTGGTGGTTCATTTCCTAGTTTTGGTTTGATTTTGAACTATTCCTAGACTGCTGAATTCGTTTTGGGCTGTTGTTCAACCTCTGTTCACTACTGCTAGCTGATCTCTCCTTTTCCCTTCGTATTTGCTGTTTCCGTGTACACTACTCGCTCTAATGATGTAGAGTTTCATTCAATGTACATGAAATGATTGTGAAGTCAAATGAAGAAGCATTGCGCACTTGAATCTGCCTCTATTTTCATTATTATGTATCTATAGTTTAATTTCAGTTTTGTTTAGTAGTTGAACGTTACCTGAATCTCAGTTTGTATAATTGGACTATCGGACTTTTATGATAGCATGTGTATTTGTGTTTAGTTAATCTAGGACAAGGGAACTATTAAACTCTGTTAGAATTAAGGAATTGGTACTGATAGGAATCTCATTGCTATTGTGAATAGATAGCATTGGTACTGGTATTGGTATTGTGAATAGATAGCATAAAATGATTGTGAATGATTGTGAATAGATAACATTGGTATTGGTATGCTTTCGTTATTATAGGATTAGGTGTTCACATGTTCTTAATCTCACGGCAAATTCAATCCGTTGAGAATTTTAAGGTTTAAAAAGTAGAAGTTCGAAAATCTTACTGCTAATTGACTTTGGTTATGTTGCTCACATATTTGTTTTGGATGAGTTTGAGTGCTATACAAGTAAGCTGAAAGTAAAAATCAAAAAGGGAAACCTGCAAATCCTCAGAATTGCCCACGCCGAGCTCTTGACCATTGGGCTGTGAAAATGAACCTACTGCCTACTTAATTGCCCAAATAGCCAACCAGATTTTTGGGCTATGAAAATTCTCAACTGGGCCTCACTGAAGCCCAATGACCGGCCATACTCTTTGCTACAGATCTGGGCCAAACCTTTAAGGCCCCAAATTTGTTCCAAGTCAAAAACCTTTTAAAGAGTATATAGGAATATGGGGACTAATTTGCAAATATAAATTTGGGTTTCGATTTAGGTGGTGGGTTCAAATTAAGAGGGTCCCCCCCCCTTTTGTTTGACTTCGGACTTGAATTCGAGGCTCGAATTTATAAATGTGCATTAATTAGGCCCTTTTAGAGCCAAAAAAATAAATAAAAAATCTTAGTTTGCTTTAGGTTGGCCTTTAAATAATAAAAGTGAGACGAGACTCGCGAAACAAAAATATACAAATTGTGGGGCCCTCATTAAATGCTTAATTAAACATACTTAGAACTTGGGGCGTGCCGTTAGCGAATTTCACGGCCCTCCGCAAAGTTAATAATACGTTAGTCGCTTTAGGCGCGCTTTTTAATAATTTTACCTTCCTAAACTCGGGTGCACATTTATGTGACCCAAATACAAATCCCAACGAAGTCGAAATGTGTCAAAAACCGCGGGTGCATTTATGTGACGTGGTTCGAGACGCGTTTTCACGACGTTGCAATTCTCTTTAAAAAGAATAATAAAAGAGCTTTAAAGTTAAAAAGCACATAAGTCAAAAACATGTATTAAAATCAGATTTTAGCCAATTATAATAATTTAAGCGACCGTGCTAGAACCACGGGATCCGGGGGTGCCTAACACCTTCCCTCGGGTCAACAGAATTCCTTATTCAGAATTTCTGGTTCGCAGACTCCAATTGGGAAGTCGACAATTTTCCTCGATTCGGGATTTAAGTAAACCGGTGACTTGGGATACCAAAAGCCAATCCTATCCCAAGTGGCGACTCTAAAAATAAATAAATAATCCCATTTCGAATAATGTCACTTTAAACGAAAAAACTCCCTTATACAGTTATCCTTCGGGGTAGGTGTGTAAAAAGGAGGTGTGACAACTGGGAGTGGCCAACGGGCTGGGTCGAGTCTGGTTGGATATGGTTCGGGTCGAAAACGGGTAATGAAAATGGATAAATTTTCCGACCCGACCCATATATATTTAATACGGATAAAAAATGGGTTAGCCGGCGGATAATATGGGTAACTATATTATCCATAACTTCTTGCATATGATCACTTTTGAGAGAATTCTTAGTCTCCCTAACTTGAGTAACTCCCAATTTGAGGCTTTACAAATATAAAAGTTAGACCCATTGGTTATCCATTTTCTAAATGGATAATATGGTTCTTATCCATATTTGACCCGTTTTTAAAAAGTCCATTATCCAACCCATTTTTTAGTGGATAATATGGATGGTTAACTATTTTCTTTTAACCATTTTGCCACCCCTAGTTGTTACTATCATTAATATTATAAATGGGGTAAGTGCACGGATAACCATTCTTAGAAATACTATTTAATATTAGACAGTAATTATAATATCCTGAACTTTTAAACTAAAAATCTTAATTTCAGGACAAATCAGAATATTTTTGTCCTAAAAATTTAAATTGAAAAACTGTAATTCAAAACGCATTGACTAATTTCTAAATAACAGGCTACCTAGTTTCATTTCTAGGTTATAAATGACGAGGATTACAATAATTAAACTTTAAAATTCAAACACACATTCACACACACAAATTGTATTATTATCTGTTTCTAATTTCCCTTCTTTTTAATAATAAATAGAGTAAACAATAAATTAGAATATCATTGATATTCTCATACCTACCAGGTAAGCAGGATGAAAGAACGGATAATACATAAACACCCCACTTGTCCCAAAAATTTTAACTGTCCACTTTTTTCTCCTTTTTTGGGTAAAAAAAACTGTCCACCTAATCTCTGCTAGTGATCTATTACTCTCCTATATATACAATGTCAATAATTTAATTATTACCCCATGAAAGAAAGGTAATTTATTTCTCTTCTGAATGATGAGTTATTAATACCGAAAATATTTTGTTTCACTCTTCTGCTTTTACTTTATTTTATTACTAAAAAAGGGGAGAAAACGTATAATACTTACTACTATGTAATACCATCCAATCCCAAATTCGATAAGATTTCTGGGATCCAAAACTTATACTACTAAATATAGTACCTATATCCCTAGTGTGAAATTTGAAAGGGACATATCAGCTAAATAAGTGCCCACCATTAATATTACCTCTGCATTATAATACCAAGCAACGTACTTAAAACGTTTTCCACCTACCACGACCTTTTTATTCTTTTTCTATCCACACACCAAACCAAACTACAATCATTATCTTCATCTTTTCTCTGCCACTTTCATTACGATTCTTGATTTCCACAAAAAGATCAGATTTACCATTTCAGAACATATGAATCCAAGAAAGGAACTCCCTTTTCGACTTATCAAAAATTGATCTCGTTCAGATATATATATGGATGTCTTACTACCATAATTCCCAAAGAGTTTTTACCAAAGCCAGGAACGGGAGTTAAACCTTTTGGCCTGACGTCAACTTCCAAAACCAAGAGCTCATTTCAAGAATTGAAGAGACAAAAAGATAAAAGAAAATATGGAACCCCCACCACCATCAGGGGTAAAGGCTCGTATTTTAGATGTTCCACTTCACGGGGTTGGGTTTGAGTTTGTAGAAATTACACCCCACAAAATCACTGGTCGTCTACCTGTGACAGAAAAGTGTTGCCAGCCCTTCAAGGTGTTGCACGGTGGAGTTTCAGCACTAATAGCTGAGTCTCTGGCAAGTATGGGAGCTCATATGGCATCCGGTTTTGGACGAGTGGCTGGAGTTCATCTCAGTATTCACCATCTCAAGAGTGCTCATATTGGTGACCTTGTTTTTGCTGAGGCTGCACCTGTCAATATTGGCAAAACTATTCATGTTTGGGAAGTTTGTATTTGGAAGATTGATCCAAACAATGAAGAAAACAAGACTTTGATAGCATCATCAAGAGTCACCCTTAAGGCCAACATGTCTGTACCTGAAAATGCTAAAGATGCTGCTGTCAATCTCAAGAAATATGCTAAGTTATGATTAGGTTTAATTGAGTTTGTTTGCAGCATCTTTGATTGTATAAGCAATACTGTAGATAACTAGGCTTGTAGTGATTAAAAAACAATAAATCCGAACTCATGATACTGTGATTCAAATTGTAATTCTTTCCTTGTTGCAATCTAATTGCGAAGAAAACAAGAGATGGGCTAAACCGAATTTGGAGTTTGATGCTCCATCATCAATTAATGGATACCGTAAATAATTTGTTTCATTCTCTTGCTTTTACTGTATTTACTGGCATACTAACATACATATCGCATCTAATTCCAAATTCGATAAGAAGGAACAAACCACCAGCCAATTAAGTGCCGACCATTAAGTTTAACCCTACATTAATATACCAATCAAGGTGCTTTAGTGTTTTCCACCTACCACGCACTTTACCATTTATCCTTTCTTCTTCCTCATAGTTATCCCAAAGTCCAAACTCCAATCGCCATCTTCATCTTCAATCTATTCTTCTCTGCCACTTTCATCAAGATTCTTGATTTCCATAAACAGATCATCAGATTTACCATTTCAGAATATCTGAATCCAAAAAAGAAACTCCCTTTTCTATTTATCAAAATTTGACCTTGTTGAGATATGGATATCTCTTACCCCATAACTGAAAGAACCATAGTGTGACAAAAAGGTTCATTCCAATTTGGACTGGTGTTTCTGCTAAAGCTAGGAACGTGAGACAAACCTTTCAGCCCAAGGTCAACCTCCAAGACCAAGAGCTCATTTCAGGATAACAGCAAATATGGAACCGCCACCATCAGGAGTAAAGGCTCGAGCTTTAGATATTCCACTTTATGAGATTGGCTTTGAGTTCCTAGAAATCACACCCCACAAACTCACTGGCCGTCTACCTGTGACAGAAAAGTGTTGCCAGCCGTTCAAGGTGTTGCACGGTGGAGTTTCAGCTATGATATCTGAGGCTTTGGCAAGTATGGGAGCTCATATGGCTTCTGGTTTTTCGCGAGTAGCTGGAATTCATCTCAGCATACACCATCTCAAGAGTGCTCAAATTGGTGACCTTGTTTTTGCTGAGGCTACACCAGTCAACATTGGCAAAACTATTCATGTTTGGGAAGTTTGTCTTTGGAAGATTGATCCAAACAATGAGGAAAACAAGACTTTGATAGCATCATCAAGAGTCACCCTTAAGACCAACATGCCTGTACCTGAAAATGCCAAAGATGCTGCTGTCAATCTCAAGAAATATGCTAAGTTATGATCAAGTTCAGTTGAGTTTGTTTGCAGAATATTTTGATTGTATGAGCACAACTGTAGAGAGCAACAAGGCAATAAAGTAGAGCAAAGAGTATTATTGGGTAACCAAAACATGTTGTAAACCCCTTGCTATTGTTTGTCTGTTGTTTTGAATACCCAAAAAGAGTAAAAACTACATTATCTGATGATTTCTTTGGTTTATGGCTCATATTGGTTTTACCATTAATCTGTTTCCTAAATTTTACTATGAACAAGCCCAACTAGTCCAGGCTCCAAAAAAGTTGAAGGAAGATGAGAAGATAACTTCAATTTGCCCAACCAGCAGGAGGACAGCATGCTTAGCTAGTGTGACAATGCTACAGAGTGAGTAGCTCTTCTAGGCGGCCAGCTTGTGACAACGCTACAGAGTGAGTTGCTCGTCTAAGTTTTCTGGAATAATGGCAAACCTTAATCATTTCTCTGATAAGCAAGTAGGTTAATCGATCGATCAGTCAACTAACCCTTACTCTTATGTAAGTTGTCATCGTCTATATAATCCTCTATATCCATTCGGCTTTATTCATTCCAATATTAATTAAGTCTCTAAGCAAGTATGCTAACAGATAGTTGACCAAGCACCTCCCTGAGGCAACTCTAGCACTACATTCAGAAACAGTGATTGGCAATTTAAAATGTTAGATCATTACCTATATATATTTCACCAAGAGCTTAATAGCTAAAAATCATAACTATAATCTCTGTTAAGCTTCATTAACAAGGCGCATATCCTAATGAATAGTTTGAGTGAGACTGCATCATAAAGGTAGTTTACATCCATCCTATTAATTGAAATCATTGATGAGTCGCGAGCCGGTGTTAACGAGAGGCTGGAGGTTTGGAGACAGACTATTGAGTCTAAATAAGGGTTTCAAGCTGAGCAGGACAAAGACGGAATACTTGGAGTGTAAGTTCAGCGTTGAGCCGGGGGAAGTGGGCGTGGATGTGAGGCTTGAATCACAGGTCATCTCAAGTAGAGGCAGCTTCAAGTACCTTGGGTTGGTTATCCAGGGGGGAGAGGAGATCGACGAGGATGTCACACACCGTATTGGGATAGGATGGATGAAGTGGAGGTTAGCATCTGAAGTTCTGTGTGACAAGAGAGTGCCACCATTACTCAAAGGTTTAGTTTTATAAAGCGGTGGTTAGATCGGCCATGACGTATGGGGCTGAGTGTTGTCCTGTTAAGAACTTACATATCGAGAAGATGAAAGTAGCAGAAATGAGGACGTTGAGGTGAATGTGCGGGCACACTAGGATGGATAAGATTAGAAATGATGTTATTCGGGAGAAGGTGCACGTGGCTCCCATTGATGCCAAGATGCGGGAAACGAGGCTCAGATGGTTCGGGCATGTTAAGAGGAGAAGCCCAGATGCTCCGGTAAGGAGGTGTGAGCGGCTGGTTATGAGGGGGCGAGAAGAGGTAGAGGGCGGCCTAAGAAATATTGGAGAGAGGTGATCGGGCAGGATATGGTGAGTCTTCAAATTTCCGAGGACATGACACTTGATAGAAAGATGTGGAGGTCGAGTCTTAGGATTGTAGGTTAGTAGGTAGTTGATTCTTGCCTTACTTCGTACTTTTGTGAGACTAGTCTGGTAGGGTTTTGTCTAAGATAGCTAGTGGCAATGTTGTGTCTTACTATTTCGCTTTCCCGTGCATGACCTATTTACTAGCTATCGCTTTTGCTTTGCATCTTTCTTTTGGATTTCATATTGTTCCTATTTTTCCTATGATTTCTGTGGTGATACTAATATTGTCTCCTTTTGTATTTTTGTTTTCTTGAGCCGAGGGTCTTTCGAAAACTCTACTTCTTCGGAGTAGGGGTAAGGTCTGCGTATACACTACCTCCCCAGACCCCACTAATAGGATTTTACTGGGTTGTTGTTGTTGTTGTCGTTAACAACATCCCTAGCACTGGCTTTTCCCCATTTACACTCGAGCTGCTAGCCTACCATCTCATCCAGCTCATCTTAGCAACCCCTCATCCCAATTGCCCACATTCTCCACAACACAACCTCATTAAGATAACTGTGGCAGTCTTACTTTACCCCAACAACTAATGTCCTTTTTGTAATATAATAATTGTAAAAAAGTTCTCATTTTCCACGTGCGTTGTAGCAAGAGCACCACAACCTCAAGAAAGGTCATTTTAGAAGAAGTAGTCAGAACTTTATTAACAAGATAAAGCATCCAGAAATTGCCGTAGATCACATAAACCATAAGCTCCTAAAGAAAACTTAAGGAGTTTTGAAATCCAAATATTCATCCACATCATGTGCATATCTGAGAAAAAACCAAAAAGATACATTCATCAAACATTTCAAAGAGGATAGGGGGAAAAACTAACATCTCTGATTCCTTTATCTCCACTAGGTCCACAGAATGCAGCCCAATGTAGTATGATATATCTTTCTGAAGGGTTCCTGACCTGCCGCACCAGCTAACATATGCATCTTTCAGAGTGTAGGGCATTACCCTTGGTATACCAGCAAGAACCTAAAACATAAATCCAACATATCCTTAGCCAATGTGCAGTATAGGAAAACATGTTTGGATCTTCCATCTCTGCTTTATACTTTCAACACCTATTACATAGAATAACTCTTCTTTTTATGTTCTCTATAGTCAGGCAAGCCTTATACAAAGTTATTCAGCTAAAACAAGCTATATTCTTGGAGCTCTAGTTCCATACCAGGCTTCTATTAGCATCATTTTGGTTAGCTCAAAATTCAATTATTGTTGCCAATAGCACAAATGGTTCTTAGGAAAATTACTCTGACCTAATTCATAGATTAGCTTTACAACTCACCAAGAGGGAAGAAAAAAGAAGCTTTACAGTAAATTCCTGAAATATAATACTTGAGTAGAAGTGATCTTTTGAGAGTTGAACACTTGTGTAATTGAGGTATTGCCAAGGTGTAGTTGATAATCATCATTTGTGTCTCTTGAGCTAAAACCTCAACTGAATTCCACATCAGCCACTACATTTTCATTAATTTCAATCAAATTCCCATCCCTTAGAATACCAAGCTTCAACTAAATTTGACAGATGAATGGGAAAAGAGGTAAGATGAATTATTATTGATCCTTTGGAAATTGAACGCTTATATGATGAGGAACAAAAATGAGAAACAAATACTAATGTTTTTTCTAACTAAAAGTTCAAATGGGAAAAACCCTACAATCTCACAACAAAAGGTGGACGATGATTGTCCGTGATCTCCATCTCTGTGCCCAATATATAAACTGAGCTATCTGAATTAATGGCTAAAGTAAATATTTGAGGCATCACAACCATATTACACTAAAATATACTATCATCTTTGAATTGCTAAGAAATTCAACTTACAGAAAACAAGGCACACTCAAGCTACGAGCTTAAACCTCATCCAAATTTCACAGCGATGACACTACGTCATTGATCTGCGCCAACTTCCCTCCCATAGACTACAGTATGTTTCAACAAAATTTGGCAGCTGAGTGGGAAAACGACAAGATCAACTACAAGTAATCATTTCGAAGTTGAAAAAGCTCATCAAAATTCCACATCAACTGTCATAAATTTAACTACTTATTTCTAATCATGGGCCTATTTCACTACTATTGGGCTTACTTCTAACACAGAAATTTGGAGATTTGCACAAATAGTATCATTCCGCGCCACTTTTTGAATTTTGTTCCTATTTAAGGAATTCTTACAAAAATAACCTCAGAACTATACGACCAGAACACAACCGGAGGAATTTTATTCTTCTGGCCTTCTGGGTGTGTGATGCCAAGGCTATTGTTGAAAAACTCCCTTTAAACGTGAACGATATAAAGAAGAATTAACCCAAATAGCTGTCCACCTAATGCTTAAATAAAAAATAGAGGTATAATATATATATAATTTATGTATTATATACGTATAATCAATGTATATGGCTAAAAAGGTAAACAGTAAATACGGGCTATTTGTGTAAAGATCCTTGAATAGAATTAACCATAACGCTGAAATTGAAAATACAAAGTATTTAAAGTTGAATTTTTGGGGAAAAAAAAGTGAAGTCGTTGTTATACATAAATTCCACTTGAATCTTTTTTGTTTGTTGAGATTTTGTGAGGGAAAATCAATATTTCACTAGAAATACTTCTTAGACTAATTTTAAAACTTAATAAATTCTCTATTTCAAGTTCAAACTCTTTAATTTTGCTTGCAAATACTGTAAAAGGAATCTACAAACTCAATTTATAGATTTTTTTCAACGTAATGCCACTGATATTAGTGCGGTATTGCACTATAATAGCAACTAGTTGGGAGAGCCTACTTCGTTAAAAGCATATCTTTTATCTCCTACAGACACAAGAACATTCTCAATGAGAATTTTCTTTTTCACGGCTAGTATCTTGCCTAAATCTCACTTAAATATTCACTATATCTATCTCACAAAAATATTTGTGTCCACAAGTTTCAATGAGGTCGGATTGTCAAGATTAGGGGTCTACATCGACCGAGTTGGTTCAATTTTAATTAAAACAAATTTAAATCAATTATATTGATTTGGATTGATTTGATTTTGTCGAGTTTTCGGTTTTTTTATCACACAAATATTGCTTCAATCTTACTTTATTAAAGTTATAGATAAAGTTTTGATAGGAGCGTATATGTTTAGTAAAATTTGAAGAAAAAAAAACTAACAAACATCTGATCTAATAATATATTTTTATGGGAGAATTTTTTTAATAACATACAATAGTTATTTCTTAGTCGTCTAACAATAATTTTTTGTTGATGTACACTTTCAAGGTTAACCGAATTTAATAATTAAACATAAAAATTGATATGATACCTAAATAATGATATGTTTTATTTAATTCTAATTATCAAAATACCATCTCAAATTTGAAAAGGATATAAGAAATTTTGAGCTATGAATACGGAAGAACAATGAGATTTACGCATTTCAATAACACTTGATAAGAAAGTGATGATACAACCCATTATTCAAAATAGATAAAAATGGATGCATTTCATAGTTCTATCAAATATTTCATTTTATGAGAGGATACCAAATATTTTTAGTCATTTTTTTAATGAAAATTCTATATAAAGTCTTAAAGATATATATAAAAATTATATATTTATATATCAATTTGGTTTGGTTCATTTTGCTCAATACCAAAC